TTATTCTCCTGGCACCAGTTTTCCAGGATTTTAACCTCCTCTCTGTAGGCCGATTCATCGCTGTTGGAGATCAGGCCCACAACTGTTGTGTCGTCAGCAAACTTTATGATGACGTTGGAGCTGTGTCTAGCAGTGCAGTCATGGGTGTACAGGGAGTACAGGAGCGGGCTGAGCACACAACCCTGGGGGGCTCCGATGTTGAGGGTCAAAGAGGAGGATGTGATACTTCCCATCCTTACCACCTGCTGTCGGTCCGTCAGGAAGTTCAGGATCCAGCTGCACAGTGTGCTGTTCAGACCCAGATCCCGGAGCTTGCAGTCGAGCCTCGAAGGAACGATTGTGTTGAATGCTGAACTGTAGTCTACAAACAGCATTCTCACATACGTGTCCTTCTTTTCCAGGTGGGAGAGGGCAGTGTGCAGGGTCAGGGCGATTGCATCGTCGGTGGATCTATTCCGCCTATATGCAAATTGCAGTGGGTCCAGGGTGGCAGGCAGTGAGGAACAGATGATATCCCTGACCAGCCTCTCAAAGCATTTGCTTACGATGGAGGTCAGGGCAACAGGTCGCCAGTCGTTCAGACAGGTAATACTAGCTGTCTTTGGAACTGGCACAATGGTGGCTAGTTTGAAACTAGCTGGCACGACCGAGAGAGACAGTGAGGTGTTATAGATGTCTGCAAAAACTCCTGCTAGTTCCCTGTAGCAGGCTTTAAGCACTCTCCCGGGAATGCCATCTGGTCCTGCTGACTTGCGTGGGTTCACCCTCTTGAAGGCTTTGCACACATCAGCTACGGAGACGGAGGGGGGGTTGGGATCAGCGGTGGGCGGGGCGCTCTCCAGTGGTGCTGCGGGAATTCCGTCGAAGCGAGCGTAGAAGTTATTAAGCTCGTCCGGCAGATCAGCGCTGGTACTGGGCAGAGTGCGAGAGGCAGTTTTATAGTCAGAGATTGTAACTTGTAACTTTTATAGTCAGAGATTGTAACTTGATTCTTGTGACATCGCAGAAACAATTGAAAACAGGCTGTTTCTGCAGAATGGTTTCCATATATGAGCCTGGAAGCTTCATATATTTTACACATTACATCAAACTAGGCCCACTCTTCTTTGCGGAACTGTTTTATCTTTCATCTTTGACTCAACAGTGCACAGAACATTATCCCAAAAGTCTTGGGCGTCATTTAGGTGTTTTTGGCAAATGTGAGACGAGCCTTTGCGTTGTTTTTGGAGTCTTTCTTATTGTGGACTCCTGTACATTGACCTTAACTGAGGCAAGTGAGGCCTGCAGCTCTTCAGATGTTCATCTGGGTTCTTTTGTTCCTCCTGGATGAGTTGTTGATGTGCTCTTGGTGGAATTTTGGTAGGCTGGCCACTTCTGGGAAGGTTCAACAATGTTCCAGGTTTTCTCCATTTGTGGATAATGACTCTCACTGTGGTTCTCTGAAGTCCCAGAGCCTCAGCAATGGCTTTATAACCCGTTCCAGACTGTAGATCTCAATGACTTTGTTTCGCATCTGTATTTGAATCTCTTTAGAACGTGGCACCACGTGCTGCTGTTTGAGACCTTCTAGCTGCTTCACACTGCCAGACAGGTCCTATTTAAGTGATGTTTAGCTTCAGCAGGTCAGGCAGTGATCATGTCTGGGTGTGGCAGTAAAATAGAACCCAGTAGGGCTGGGCAGTTTATCGAAAAGTCATCTAAACTGACGTAATCTTGCCCATCTCGGTTATTTCTGTGGTGTTTTTTTTTTTGTTAATCCTTTCCCGACTCTGTGTGTTCATGTACTGTCCCCTTAAAGACTTACTTCCACGTGTGTCGTCACGAGACTCCGCCTCGTCCAGTCTGTGACATGGAAGCTAAGGCTACATTCACACAGCAGGTAAAAGTGGCCCAAATCTGATTTTCTCACCAAATCCGATTTTTGTTTGGCTGTTCAGATTATCTTTAAATGTGATCTGTATGCGACATCAGTCTGAACAGATCAGCCCCTAAACTGAGCCGCATGCTCAAAAGATCAGAGCGTCACGCTGCTTCACGGCTCGTCCAGAGGTAAACAATCACGACTGCCAACGAACGTCAGTCGCTCCCGGAGGATCAGCTTCATCTTCACCAGCATCACAGGAGCCATCATGAAGCTTCACTGACTGACAGCTGGGCTCATCACCCAGAATGTGTTGGAGCCGTAAAAAGGGCGTGGTCACTTCTTTGGTTGGTGTCCTCGGATTCTTTAAACTCTGCTTTCAGACTTTTAACTGTTCTTTGACGCTGCAGCCTCGTTCTCCTTCGGCCGCGTTCGGACATTTCTTTCAAAATCTCTTCAAACATGGAGCGGTTTGGATGAGTCTCTATTAATTTTTGTACAGAAACATCCCTCCAAATGTTTATGAGTCTCAGCAGTGCGAAATTATGACGAATGTCGAGTTGGATTGACATAAAAGCCGTGTGAATTCCAGTCTGGCTGTTGAGACAATTTACATTAAGATATGCAGAACATATTTAAACTACAAACCTTGTTGAGGGCATAAAGGCAAATGAGGGCAAACAAACAAAAACAAAATAATCGTTCACTAATTGTAATCAAGGTAAAATATTGAATTGTGATATTGATTTGAGGACATATTGCCCAGCACTACCCAGTAGTCAACTGAATTTGGTTAACTGGTTGATTTAGTAGCTAAGGAGGCAAATACTTTTTCACATAGGGACAGGCATCTGATATAAAATGAATTAAATCATTTAAAAGCAGCATTTTGTCTTTACTTGCGTTATCACTGTCAAATATTAAGAGTAGTTTGATGACCTGAAACATTCAAGTGTGAGAAATAAAAATAAATAAATGATTTGTGGAGATGAGCGATTAGAATTAGAGATTTTTTGTGACCCTAATTCTAGAGAAAGATTTCGGTGTAGTGTGTCTTGAGTACTTGGAGAGCACGAAGCCTTTAAAGCTAACAGATCCCCAAGTAACTAAACAGTCAGTCAGTAGCCTCGTTTACATGCAGCCTAATAATCTGACTAACAGCTCAATCAGAATAGAATACGTCCGTGTAAACACCTCGATAGGAATAGACGTCAGATTGAGGCCATTCAGAATACAGTTTCTATCTGATCGAGGTGGGTAATCCTGTAAATAATCCGTTAAATAGAAGAATAATATCCGTGTAAACGCCTGTATCTGATTACATTCCCTATCGGAAAGTTTAAGTCTGTTCTGATCATGTTCGTCGCGTCATAGTGAGAGTTTATACCGTTCAACATGGCGGAGCAGAAACTGGTCTGCAGAGGAGACGAAGTTTATGCTCTGGTCTTTAAAAGACGGCGGTGGGACGGACGTCCAGCTTATGTGTCTCAGAGCACGACGTCCTCCTCTCGGCCTTCTTTAATAAGGACATGTGAAGGACGTTTTCCTGAGTCTGACATCATTTTAAAGTCATTAAAAACACGAGCACTGCTCACTGCTGCTCATCTCACTCTGACTGGACTCACGTGATGCTGGTTGTTATGGTAACATCTACTCTAAGTGGTTCTCTACGCATGAGCATAATTTTGGATCTGATTGCTTGTAGTGAGCATGAAAACAGAGATTCTCATCAGATTGTTGAATAGAGTGAGAATAAACACCTCAGTATGAATCCGGAATGAGAATGTATTCAATCGGATCGGAGAAAATCTTTGCGTGTAAACGCAGACGCTGTGACACGTCAGACTTAATGTAGTAAGAAGTTTATTATAACTGTGACTTGTTCACTTGTATCGCCTGCATATTACAGCTTGTTTGGATTATGAAGGAGTTGGGCTTGGAAGTCATGGTGCAGCCCATGATGTTCGGTTAATAGAGCTGATGAGGTTAAATGAGCATTTAATGGTGCAGAGTTGTGTGTTATAATGTATTACAAACCTAGTGGGTATCATCATAGAATAGAATGGAAAAGGAGGTCAAAGCTGCATGGGACAGTGTTAGTGGGTGAGGGATGATATAATTGATAATTTTTTAATTATAAAATACACCGATCAGGCATAACATTCTGACCACCTCCTTGTTTCTACACTCATTGTCCATTTTATCAGCTCCACTTACTATATAGGTGCACTTCGTAGTTCTACAGTTACAGACTGTAGTCCATCTGTTTCTCTGCTACTTTGTTAGCCCCCTTTTACCCTGTTCTTCAGTGGTCAGGACCCCCATGGACCCTCACAGAGCAGGTACTATTTGGGTGGTGGATCATTCTCAGCACTGCAGTAACACTGACGTGGTGGTGGTGTGTTAGTGTGTGTTGTGCTGGTCTGAGTGGATCAGACACAGCAGTGCTGCTGGAGTTTTTAAACACTGTGTCCACTCACTGTCCACTCTATTAGACACTCCTACCTTGTCAGTCCACCTTGTAGATGTAAAGTCAGAGACGATAGCTCATCTGCTGCTGCACAGTTTGTGTTGGTCATCCTCTAGTCCTTCATCAGTGGTCACAGGACGCTGCCCACAGGACGCTGCTGGCTGGATATTTTTGGTTGGTGGACTATTCTCAGTCCAGCAGTGACACTGAGATGTTTAAAAACTCCAGCAGCACTGCTGTGTCTGATCCACTCAGACCAGCACAACACACACTAACACACCACCACCACGTCAGTGTCACTGCAGTGCTGAGAATGACCCACCACCCAAATAGTACCTGCTCTGTGAGGGTCCATGGGGGTCCTGACCACTGAAGAACAGGGTAAAAGGGGGCTAACAAAGTATCAGAGAAACAGATGGACTACAGTCTGTAACTGTAGAACTACAAAGTGCACCTATATAGTAAGTGGAGCTGATAAAATGGACAATGAGCGCAGAAACAAGGAGGTGGTCAGAATGTTGTGCCTGATCGGTGTATCATGCTGTTATGGTAATTATTTAAATATCATCCATACATTTTAAGTTGGATTTAATGTTGCAACTTGGATTCTAACCTATTCTCTCTCTCGCTCTGTCTCTCTCTGTCTCTCTCTGTCTCTCTCTCTCTCAGACTAAAGGGGGAATTAGCCTATAATTACAAGGGCCCCAGGACCAAAGATGACATCATTGAGTTCGCTAACAGAGTGGCTGGGTGAGACACTCTTCATCCACAGCACCTGCTTCATTTCCAGATAGTAGTAGACAGTAGACGCCTTTTTAAATGATTCATAGCCTTCAGAATGATTTCATTTCTGCTAGGAAGTTTGTCAGATACCTTTTCTAAACAGAAGAACTTCTATCCTGAAAAAAACTGCTTTGACTGCTTGATTCATGTACATCAGTTCCACATAAATAAAATATATTACATCGACTCAGTTCTCGCCAAAAGTGAGTAAACTGAAGGAAAACGATGTGTTGATGTAACATATTTTATTTATGTGGAACCGATGTTCAGATTTAAAAAGTAAAGTCTGTGCACTTTTTTTCTGCGTGTGGATAAATGATGATTACGATCACTGACACTGCAAACTGATTTTCGGTCTCATGTTTCGTTGAATCTGAAGCCGTATTCAGACAGGATTAGGTTCACAGGAGGAGGTGGGTAGGGTCATTTCTCGAGTCGTGTCGGTCAGTTTTACCGACTGCGCACTCCTGCGTTAGTAACGATTCCTTTTACCTTCTATAAAGCGAGCAGGAGAAATAACCTCAGTCATGTTCATCCCGTGTCAGTAAAAATGCTGTCGTACTCCGTAGAAAAGTGAAAGGTATGTAGGATCAAAGAAGCATTTGCTTATGTTCACTGTGGCTGTTAAATATATGAAGAGCTCATTTGCAAAACTGATGAACTTAAACTCATTTTAAACTCCTTTAAAATGAGCCGACTGTGGCGAGTTATTCTTAAAGTCTGAACACTAAACATGTTTAGTCACTAAAGCTGTTATTGTTCATTGCAAGTTCACGTGTTACAGCAGAAACGGTCGAACACCAGCGCTGAACCTGATAAATCCGTTCAGCCAATCAGCACGCAGTATTGGGGTCCGGTGACGCAGCACTGCCGCCAGCTGTTTGAATCAGAATCTCAAACGGCTCCTTCTCCCTACAAAGAGCAGCACACAGGTCTTAAACTAACGGGCTACTGATCTAAACAGAGCTCAGAGAGTCTCACAGAGAGCCACTCTGGATTCAGCCGTGAGAGATGATTCATACTGAACACAAAGACCAACATTTGGGTGGAAAAGTCACTATATTAGTTTCATAACTAATATAGTGACTATATAGGGATCAGTGAGCCATTTGAGATTCAGCCTTAGGATTTTCCGAGCTCTGACCTTATAGATGTTTAATATTGACCATTAATGGCTGTTTGTGTTCAGCTTTCAGCTCTTTACCTGCTTGTTTTATGATAAAGAATGTTAAATGTTACACTTAAAAGAAACTTGCATCCATTAAATGGCTTTGTTCAAGTCTGAGACATGAAAAACTAACAAAAAAAAAAAACAGTGTTTAATTTTGTAAGTTACCTGTTTTTTTTTACTTAATGAGAACAACCCAACTGCAGTTTGATTGATATTTCAATTTAATTTAATTTGATTTAATTCAGTTTTTTTATGATTATTTATTTATAAATATATTATTTATTTATACCCAAATATATTGTCTCAATCATGTTTTAATCCTGTTTTTAATTTCTATTCTCTTTTGCTTTTTTAAATTAACTCTATTTTCTCATTCGTAAAGCGCTTTTAAATGACAGCACTGTATGAAAGGTGCTTTATAAATAAACTTGCCTTACCTTGATATTACCTGGAATGCACAATGCAAAAAAACATGATCAGTGAAAATTAATTAGAATGGAGATACACACGAACTCTTCATATACACATATATACACAAACAGTAAGTCCACAAACAGTAAATAATCTTAGCTATTTAAACAGGAACTGGATTTGAAATTTAATCATTTAAACCAATAAAATTGGCCCAACAATTGTTAATTTGTTGGTAAAACATTAATCACTTCATCATTTGCATCTCTGCTTTAAAGGATGTAATGTAATTCCTCACTGATGGCCACTAGATGTCACTAGAAGTGCATGAAATCTACGGAGGCTTCTGAGGTTTCCAATCAGGCAGAGCACTTATGCTCGTGATTAGAGGCAGTGAGGGTCTGGCTGTTGACTCTGAATCCACAAGTCTGACATCTGAAGTAGCTGCTGATGTTTATCTAGTCGTGAATGTTCTGTCTCTGCGCTGATGTGAAAAATGAGGGTCTTATTTGTCTGTGTGTGTCGTTGGTGTGTAGGCCCGCGGTGCGCTCCCTCCCCAGCAGACAGATGTTTGAGCATGTCCGGAAGAGGCACGACGTGTTGTTTGTGTACGTGGGGGGAGAGTCTCCACTCAAGGTAAGCCTTCCGGAGCTTCGCTGGAAGAAGAATGAAAGAGAAAATAATATTTATTTTTCCTCCCTGATTGAACTGCAACCATCACACAGCTTATAGAACATATACAGGGGATTTTCACAGCATACAGAGGCCTTATCATACACTCTTAAAAAGGATGGTTCTTCAGGGGTTCTTTAGTAGAGGCCATGGCTCTATTTAGAACCGTGAGTTCTGTATAGAACCATTTCATGCTTCAGTGGTAAAATGGTTGATCAAACTGATGGAGAATGTGTTCTAAACGGTTCTATGTGGCACCAAAAAGGGTTCTTCTATTGTTACAAGCTTGACATCATCACAACAGCATATCCCTTTTTGGTGCTGCATGTGCACACTTACAAAAGATGGTTCTTCAAGGGTTCTTTAGTAAGAAAGTGGTTCTACATTCTATATGAACCCTTTGCATGATTAAAGTTTTTTTTGCATTATGAAAAGGTTCTTTAGATTGATGGAGAATGTGTTTTTATATAGTTCTATGTGGAAACTTTTTGAAAACGGTTCTATATATTGCACCAAAAAGGGTTCTTTTATTGAAACAGACTGACTTCATAGCAGTAAAGAACCCTTTTGGTGCTATATAGAACCCTTTTTCAAAGAAAAATGCTTCTCCATCAATCTGAAGAACTATTTAACGGTGCAAAGAACCCTTTGATCATGCAAAGTGTTCTTTGTGCTTTCATGGTTCTGTATAGAATTATTTTGTATACCAAAGGACTCCTAGAGAACCATCATTTTTAAGAGTGTACAACACATTTCACCATGCAAAGAACCATTTAAGCATGCAGTGGTTCTGTGTCGAATTCATGGTTCTAAATGGAACCATTCCCTTTACTAAAGAACCCATGGAGAACCATTTTTTTAAGTGTGTAGGGCTCGGCAATATGACAGTATTTATCGTTATTGTGATAAATGACATCACGGTATGTTACTTTTAGAGGTGGTCGATATGGCAAAAGTATAATATCACGATGAGACATTTTCACAATATTTATTTATTTTTAGACATCTGATCAGTTTGAACAGAGAAAGAAGATCCAGTAGAGCTACATTAAAAAAAATACAATCAAAAACTGAACACAGTGATTTATAGGGGTGGGAATCTCTAGGCACCTCACGATTCGATTACGATTCAGAGGCTGTGATGCGATTATAAAACGATTATCAATGCATCTTTTTTTTTCTATACATGATTTCTATTTTCTTACTGTCTGAGGACTTCGTAGTTTTAAAACAAAGTATTTGTAATGATCCATAATGCATTTATGTCCAATATCTTTTATTAATAAAACAAATGGAAGTGATGTGGCAAGAGAACTAGAAGGCTCTCATTCAGCGCTCTTGTTTGGAGACACTGCTGCCACTCATCTGTGATAAAATGTGCAGTTATGGTGAAATAAGATCCAGTGGTGATGGGTGTCCACGCAGCGCGTTACAGCCGTCCTCCTCGTTTTCTTTAGTGATTTTATAACTTAGGTTTTGGTCTCGTGATGGGGGGAAGACTGTAGGTCACGTAGCAGCGAGGTTTCGCCTGGCGAGTAGCGAATGAAAAAGGAAAAGAGAACGACAGACGAACATTTGGAGATGAATGGACTTATTCGCATTTATAAGCAGCGCAGTTGGTTTCCCGGTATGTCAAATATGCAACGACAGACGGTCAAACACTAACTAAAAAGTTGCGAAGATGAAGTCGCTTCTCTTTCTAATTTTCCCGTTCCACCTTAAACGGTGCCGCAATTACATTCAGCGTCTGTCAGAATTTAAGATACAGGAACCGTAAGGTTCACTAAATCCAGTTAAACGGGACTCATTTTGCTCTCTTTATAATGAAACATGTAGTTACTGACAATACGTATACAGTATTGTGTCATACTTTATTGCGATGACAATATATATATATATATATTATCATATTGCCCAGCCCTAGTTACCGTACGCTTTTCTGAGCATATCATGGAGTTAAAAATCAGCAGAATTAGTCCTGTTTAATTGCGTTTAGTGCAGCTCAGTGTGGATTCATAGTTTTTAGTAGTATTTTTATAATGTGGCACTACTTTGTCTGTTCCAACTTAGCAGATGTCAGAAAAATGAAATATTGTGACGCATCATCCATCCATCATCTAAACCGCTTATCCTTCTGGGTCGCGGTGGGGTGCTGGAGCCTATCCCAGCTGTCATTGGGCGGAAGGCAGGATACACCCTGGACAGGTCGCCAGTCCATCGCAGGGCAGATAGACAGACATACATATACAATCACACACACACTCACACCTAGGGGCAATTCAGCATGTCCAATCAGGCTGACTGCATGTTTTTGGACTGTGGGAGGAAACCGGAGTACCCGGAGGAAACCCACGCAGACACGGGGAGAACAGGCAAACTCCACACAGAAATGACCCTGGTCACCCGGCCAGGAATCGAACCCAGGCCATTCTTGCTGTGACGCATCATGAATCCTGAAAACCTTCCTGAAGTATCGTGATGTTACGTTCTGCCGTATCGCCCAGCTCTGCTTTATTATATGGAGAACTTTTCTATGTACGTTTTCTTTGTGCGTTATTACGGAAAAGTCTTGTTCCTGCGACGTCCGTATTTTTTGTGTTTACCTGCACATGCAGAGTTATGAACCGGCCCACCTCAAGGATTCTCTCCTCCGTGTGTTTATGAATCATGCATGAGTTTGGATGTCGGCAGAGACTTTTTCTTCCTGAGGCGAAGTCTCAGTCTCTCTCTCTCTCTCTCGCTCTCTCGCTCTCATAGATTCACACACAGGCTCAGTAACACCATCTGAGCCCGCAGTTTACATCGGTGTGAGAGCTGGACGTGCCGTCGATACCATGGATTTCAAAATGATTATCTTTGACCTTTAGCGTCAGGAGAATAATTACAGCAGACACGACACTGTAGTTACTAAAACTCCGCTCTGAGATGTCCTTTCCTGCCCACTTAAAACGATGGTTCTTCAAGGGTTCTTCAGTGGAGAAATCTGCATGATGAAAAGGTTCTTTGCATCCTGAAAGAGCTCTTGAGATTGATGGAGAACGTGCTGTGGATGCTCCTGTATAGAACCTTTTTGAAAGGGGTTCTTTTCATTGTATTTATTGTGTACTGAGACACTGACAGGCCAGGCTCACTGAGCACCAACTGGACGTTATATCTCTCCACTCATTACTATGCACGGCCACTTTGTTTACACACCCAGGCATATTACACAACTATTAACATACGTTATCGTTTACAGTGTTTAGTCACTCGGTTCATCCAGTGGATGTGACGTGCACCACTGCACTGTCACCTGCGCATATTTATGCAGTTTTACCTACTTATTTTTGTATTTTATGGTTGTTTTAGAATATTTTAATATACACTAATCAGGCATAACGTTCTGACCACCTCCTTGTTTCTACGCCCATCGTCCATTTTATCAGCTCCACTTACTATATAGGTGCACTTTGTAGTTCTACAGTTACAGACTGTAGTCCATCTGTTTCTCTGATACTTTGTTAGCCCCCTTTTACCCTGTTCTTCAGTGGTCAGGACCCCCATGGACCCTCACAGAGCAGGTACTATTTGGGTGGTGGGTCATTCTCAGCACTGCAGTAACACTGACGTGGTGGTGTGTTAGTGTGTGTTGCGCTGGTCCATCCGACGCTTGGCTTTGTGCAGTTTGATCTTAGGCTTGTGTGCAGCTGCTCAGCCATGGAAACCCATTTCGTGAAGCTCCTATTGTGCAGTTCTTTTGCTGGTGTTGCTTCCAGAGTCAGTTTGGAGCTCTGTAGTGATTCAACAGAGGATAGACTCTGTGCTCTTCAGCACTCGGCGGCCCCTCTCTGTGAGTTTGGTGGTCTACCGCTTCGTGGCTGAGCTGTTGTTGCTCCTAGACGCTTCCATTTCACAGTGATAGCACTTACAGTTGTCTGGGGCAGATCTAGCAGAGCGGAAACGTCACAAACTGACTTGTGGCAGAGGCGGCATCCTATGACAGAGCCATGTTTAAAGTCACTGAGCTCTTCAGTTCGACCCTCAACTGCCAGTGTTTGTTGAGACTGCAAGACTTTGTGCTTAATTTGATCCACCTGTTAGTAATGGGTGTGGCTGAAACACCTGAACTCAGTAATCAGGAGGGTTGTCACAATACTTTTGTCCGTGTGTTGTACTTCTGTGTTTTATTCATCCCTGCTGTTCTACAATAAGTGAAGTTTAAATTTACTTTCTGCAAATGAATCACAACAAATTATCATAACAATAAGGCCAAAACCAGAGGGACTTGGGCATGATTTCTGTATCACCAGAAAACTGTAGCAAACAAATTGCTTTGTCATAAATGTTGTGTTTGACAGCTGTTGACTGCAGATAGCCTATCAGCTCACGCAGCTTGGAGAATAACATCCCAGGGGCGTCTTTTTTCCTAGCGGGGTAGAGAAACACGTAGCTTGTTAAAAAGTTGAGGCTTTGTTGTTTCCCTGTCATTTTCTATTCTTAGATTACAAGAATAGTCTAATCACTTAACACCTTGTGGAAGGTTTGATCCTCTCAGGCAGAAGCTGTGTGGGGCACCTCGGCTGCCCAGCACTGAGGTTCTTTTCTGAGATAATTGCTAGAAACTCCGGAAGCTGTTGAATTCTCTCACAAGTTGCAGCGATTCAACACTGATGAGCTGTCGTCACGTCCGAATAATGAATCACGGCTGAAGAGGGCTTTTTGTTTTGTACACTTAGCTTGCGGTGGTGTCTTTGTCTTTCGGGACTCCATCAATCCATGCTTTTTGTTCTGTTCAGGCTCCAAACTGACCCAAGCCAGGTAAAAAGGGCTGTGGAGCACTAATAGCCGTTGGAATTGTATGTGTTGGGAAGTGGAACAGATCCAAAACGTGGGCTGACTCCTGAGGACTGGATCAGAGCTCTCTATTCTGAGTGGGAATACATGAGTCTGGTAAAGGCAGCCACGCTTTAAAACACATTATATATTGGGCATCGTAGACGCGAAGCTCAGAGGAAAACAAAGTCTGCCATGGTAGAAGCACAGGGTCATATAAAGGTCAAATGTTCTCAACTTTTGTGCGGTACACTTCGGCTAAGTCTCATTGCAGCCAATAGGAGAGCAGTAGTAGTCTGGTCGGCCTTAGGGCTGGGCGATATGGCAGTATATCGTTATCGTGATAACTCAGTGTCACAATACAGTGCAATATGCTTTTACTGAAACACTGACTAACTGCATGTTTCATTATAAAGAGAGCAAAATTAGTCCTGTTTAACTGGATTTAGCGCCAAATACTGAATAAAAATCATCATATTCACATTTTTTGATAGTATTTTTTAAAATTTAGCTCTACTGGTTCTTTTTTCTCTGTTCCAACTGATCAGATGTCTCAAAAACTAAATGTGACCATATCGTGTATTGGGAAAATTAGCTTGAAGTATCGCAATATTATATTTTTGCCGTATCGCCCACCTCTAGCACTTCCTTTCGCTACTGTGGGTGTAAGAAAATATTGAAACACATTTATTGATATACAGTATCGCAGTATTATATTTTGTGATAGTATATCGATTCTCAAACACTATAGATTTTTAATCAACAGTTAATATGCAGAGATTTGTGGCACATAATGGTTTGTGTTGTTTAACCACCTGACCACTAGATAGAAGTGTTGTAATCTGTCTTTAGCCATTAGACTTTTTTTACTCCGATATTATGCTTATGGTGGTGGATTTATTGTTTTAACTATAAGCAGTTTCCCTAAAATTAGATTTTAAAAAATCGAGATATGTAATCGTCTTGCTCTGCGTTTAGAGGGCAGCACTGAGTAATGTTTATTTTTTGTTAGCTGTGTAGCTCATTCTTATGTTTTTACCATGTATGCTGCATAACAGATTTTTTTTGCTTATATTTTATGGTAAAGAACATAGATTTGCTTGACTCTGCACATAATTCTGTGTATCTGCAGACGTTGGTGTGAGTTTGCATGCAGTATTGATTCAACAGTACAATTAGTGTGAGCTACAGTAAACATAACTAGCACGTAAGGAGGCTAATCAGCCAGTTTGGCCACTTTACACTTGTTCTAATAGTTTTACAGTTAACAAGAAAAGACAAATCAAATCGTCAGTCGCAATTATTTCTGACAGTCATCAGCTAAAGTTTCACGATCATGACAGCCGCAGTTTCACCCTGTCGTTGGGAGATCAGAGAGCATTGCCAGCCGTCCTTAGTTGGATGTTGTGCTGCACAGAGTCTAAAATGGTGTCATATTAGAAGCTTTTTAGTCCGCTGTTATTCACAGAAGGCCTGAGGCAGTGTTGCGGTGGCCGTGTGCAGCTTCTAGGTCCGGCAGTTGAATGCGAGCGGCAACGGCATCACGGTCATCTGCAGATCCATAGCCGTTACGCTGGCGTCGGGTCAGATTTAGTCCTTTTGGAAAAGCCACAAAAGATGTCACAAAGTTTGAGTTGCAGCTTTTCCTTGGCCGGCCTGTCAGACTCGGCAGTGAGCCGTCCGTCCGCTCCGTCTGAAGGCCACTGCCGGAAAGTGACGCAGAGACAAAAGCCGCTCTGTGGATTGCATCATAAACCCAGCTTTGCCAAGGCTTCGACGCCAACAGTCCTGAATGAAGTGGAGCGAGTTGATGTTTGCAAAGCCCCGTCACGGAGTATTTCCACCCCACGGTGAAGAATTGGCCATAAAATGATGCTGACGCCAAGCTGGCGGCATAATCGGCCCAGAGCCTGCGGAGAGAATCGTATACGCAGTGCTGTGTCGCCGCTGCTGTGGTGTTTTGAGATGGTTCAAGACCTCAGAATTGAATGCTATATATATATATTATTTATTTATTTTTTTTTAAGAATATTTTTCAGCTTTGTAATGAGCAGCTCTAGGGTCAGGCCATAACGGAGATTAGGAGTGGACTCACGTTTATTTTTATTTCCCTAAAAGATCTCCGTGATGAGACTAATCTGGATGGGAAGGTGTAGCTTTAGGGATGAGCTAACGCCAAAATAATAAACAAAACAAGTAAGGATTACAAAAACTAAAAACCTGACCCAAAAAAAGAAAATCTACCCTAAAACCCTGTTTAAAACAAGTTTAGGGAAAATTAGGGCTGGGCAATTTCACAGTATATGTTATCATGAAAAACTACGTCACAATACAGTATGTATACCGTCAGTACTTGTAGATTCTGACCAACTGCATGAATCATTACAAAGAGAGCAAAATTTGTCCTGTTTAACTGGATTTAGTGCCAAATATTGAATAAATATGATTGTGTTCACAGTTTTTGATAGTATTTTTTAAATTGTAGCACTACTGGCTGTTTTTTCTCTGTTCCAACTGATCAGAAAAAGTAAATAACGTGACATATCCTGTAACGTGAAAAATTTAATATATTGCAAGATTATATTTTTGCCATATCACCCACCCGTAGGCAAAACAAATGGTGCTCAGTCACAAGTTGAATGAAATATATGACACTTCAACAGGTCTTCTGAAGTTGTTAGAAGTTGCATGGTAAAAATTCCCAAAAAATAAATAAATAAATATTACGCCATATCGTGTAACATGAAAAATTCATGTATTGTGAGGTTATATTTTCGCCATATCGCCCACCTGCAGGCAAAACAAGTGGCGCTCGTTGTTTACTTCCCACAGAAATTCACAAATGTCTCCCCAGGTGGTGGCTTGGCAACCTCTTGTACAGGAGTGCGCCCCTTGTGGCCATTCATTCATACTGGCACATAATGAAGCGCACACAGTGGGGAAAACAAAACGGTACACGAAAGGAATATTACGACCAGTCGACCAAACGGGGATGAGCTGGATTACTGGGTACAGATGAGGGCAGGATTTGAAAGGATTTGTCTTATTTTTGCCTTAATTGGGGTCTATGAATTATGAAACAGATTAAAGACAATGATATGTACTTCACAGGTGCTGCATGGTGATTCTGCTCTACTGCTTAAAACTGATTTATCACATGACTGATCACACTTTTTGGTATTGACGAACATAAAGTAACACGTTTTGATTTAGGGAAATATGAGAATTGACAACTGACAGGCATATTTGACCATTAAGAGTTGACAACTGGCGATCATATCAATCAGTACATTGCTGGTTAACAAAAACTATGGTTAGTCTGGTTCATTTTTGACCACATAAAATTATATCTGCTGATATTATTGGATATTCAGTTTTTCAGCTCCCTGCTAATTGTTGATCAGTGTTTTTGACGCAGTTTTCATAATGACCTACTTAAAACCAGCAGCGTTGTAATCTGTGAATTGGGTCAGTTTGCCTTTACTGTGACTTTGAGAGTGTCCCTTGGTGACTTGCTGTTCTGTGATTTCAGGAGAAGTACGTAGACGTGGCCTCCGAGCTTATTGTTTACACCTACTTCTTCTCTGCTTCCGAAGAGGTCCTACCAGAGGTGAGACGTGTCTGAGTTCTTTAAAGCGTGTCGAAACGGCGAAATCACTCAGAGCTGCACAAACATCCTTGTAGTGACCCAAATTACGTCCTGCTTTTACTGCTGGAAATAAAAGTCATTCATAATAATTAAGACCAGTCCCAAGCTGAATGGAATTTGGGACACGTTGCATGGTAAAAATTCCAAAAATAGGATATTTCTGTTTCATTTTGTGACACTTTATTAGTGAGAGATTGTCCACAGAACTGTGCAAAAGTCAGAGACCACTTTTTATTTATTTAATTTCCAGTTAAAACATCTTCCTTACAAGTACAAGTGTAAATTATTCATTATTCATATCATTCAGGAGATATTTCTGAGGAGAATAAATGCAAGGTAATGAGCTTGCATAAAGAAGAGGAAAGTCAAAGGAAAATAAGAGGAGTAAAAGTGTCCAGTTCTAAAATTATGTAGATAAATCTTTAAAAGCTACAGAGAAAACGTTTCTCCTAACAACCACCTGGAAGACCTGGTAGCCACCAAAACTGCCCCCATCAGATAAACAGCACTTAAAGCTTTCATCTCTGAGAGAGAGGAGAAAATCAAGCTGCTTCAGATCTGAAAACATCCACAGGTGTTTCTGTCCATCCTTCCACTGTGAGAAGACGACTCAGCGCTGTGGGTCTGAAAGGATGTGTAGCTGATCAAGAAGAACCTCACTGAGAAAAGGAGACGGACACATCAAACAAAGAAGCTGAACAGTGGACTGACCACCCCAGAGTCCAGACCTCAACACCACTGAATGTGTTTGATTACTTCAGAAAATGATCAACCAGCTTCTAAGACTGAACTTTGGAGGTGTGTCTGCAGATTCTTTGAGGAGCTGAAAGTGGGTCTCCTGAGAAGGAAGATGAAAGGTGGATGCACTAAATACTGTAAATTATATTGTATTAATTTGGCTGGAAATTAAATGATGTGTAATCTAGGGCTGAACAGTTTGGGGAAAATCTAACCGCAGTTTTCTGACTCATATTGCAGTTTAAATGTAGTTATTTTTTATAAATTAATTTCCAGGTCTGTGTTTTGGGCAAGAGGCCCAGAATATCCTCTTTTTTTGCCTGAGGCTTGAACACAGAGTCAGCTGGACTACCATTTAGTTACATGGTAGTGATGTCACATTTACAGCACATGTTTTGGCCAAACTCAAGCTCTGTATTGTCAGGTTAAACGTCCTCATTTAAGACCTAAGACAACATTAGATTTTGTGTGTGTGTGTGTGTGTGTGTGTGTGTGTGTACAGTGGTGTGAAAAAGTGTTTGCCCCTTCCTGATTTCTTATTCTTTTGCATGTTTGTCAGACTTAAATGTTTCAGATCACCAAACAAATTTAAATATTAGACAAAGATAACACAAGTAAACACAAAATGCAGTTTATAAATGAAGGTCTTTATTATTAAGGGAAAAAGAAATCCAAACCTATAGGGCCCTGTGTGAAAAAGTGATTGCCCCCCCCCCATTAAAACATAAATTAACTGTGGTTTATCACATCTTTGGAAAGCTGAGTTCAATTTCCCTAGCCACACCCAGGCCTGATTACTGCCACACCTGTTCTTAATCAAGAAATCACTTAAACAGGACGTGCCAGACAAAGTGAAGTAGACCAAAAGGTCCTCAAAAGCTAGACATCATGCTGTGATCCAAAGAAATTCAGGAACAAATGAGAAACAAAGTAATTGAGATCTGTCAGTCTGGAAAAGGTTAAAAAGCCATTTCTAAAGCTTCGGGGCTCCAGCGAACCACAGTGAGAGCCATTATCCACAAATGGCGAAAACATGGAACAGTGGTGAACCTTCCCAGGAGTGGCTGGCCGACCAAAATTACCCCAAGAGCGCAGCGACGACTCGTCCAAGAGGTCACAAAAGACCCCACAACAACATCCAAAGAACTGCAGGCCTCACTTGCCTCAGAGTTCCAAGATGAAAACCACTGCTGAGCAAAAAGAACATTAAGGCTCGTCTCAGTTTTGCCAGAAAACATCTTGATGATCCCCAAGACTTTTGGGAGAATACTCCGTGGACTGACGAGACAAAAGTTGAACTTTTTGGAAGGTGTATGTCCCGTTACATCTGGCGTAGAAGTAACGCGGCATTTCAGAAAAGGAACATCATACCAACAGTAAAATATGGTGGTGGTAGTGTGATGGTCTGGGGCTGTTTTGCTGCTTCAGGACCTGGAAGACTTGCTGTGGTAAATGGAACCATGAATTCTGCTGTCTACCAAAAATTCCTGAAGGAGAATGTCCGGCCATCTGTTCGTGACCTCAAGCTGAAGCACACTTGGGTTCTGCAGCAGGACAATGATCCAAAACACACCAGCAAGTCCACCTCTGAATGGCTTAAGAAAAACAAAATTAAGACTTTGGAGTGGCCTAGTCAAAGTCCTGACCTGAATCCGATTGAGATGCTGTGGCATGACCTTAAAAAGGTGGTTCATGCTCTGAAACCCTCCAATGTGGCTGAATTACAACAATTCTGCAAAGATGAGTGGCTAAAATTCCTCCACAGCGCTGTAAAAGACTCAGTTATCGCAAACGCTTGATTGCAGTTGTTGCTGCTAAGGGTGGCCCACCCAGTTATTAGGTTTAGGGGGCAATCACTTTTTCACACCGGGCACTATAGGTTTGGATTTCTTTTTCCCTTAATAATAAAGACCTTCATTTATAAACTGTGTGTGTGTGTGTGTGTATTTTTCCCTTTATAATTACACAAATACTTCTTATGAGTACACAGATGTATTTTATATAAAAATTGCAGCTCTTGTTGTTTGAAAATTGCACTCTTTCAAATTGCGATATCAATATAAAGATGATTAGTCTTTCAGCCCTGGTGTGATCTCTGACTTCTGCACAGTTCTGTTGCCCATTTATAGCTGAAACATACATTTTGTAGCTACACACCTTCAACATTAAATTCAGATTCAACATTAGCTCAGTCATAGACTAAAAATACACTAGAAAATGTATGAACTGTTGCTGAAGCATAACATGGCAAATGCTTTAGTTCCTATTAAAAGGACCACAGAGCAATGGCGTAATCTGGGACTTCTTATCACCACTTTATGTGGTTTAGTAATGCCAGCATTGCTTCCTAAGTGTCACTCAGGGTTCTTATATACTGTAGATCTCTCACTGAATTTGTTTCCGTTGTGTTCAGTTTATGGATGATGTTCCTTTTTGAGATACTTGTCAAATGTCCTCTCATTCCTGTTTGTTCATGAGTCTGTTTCTGCTGCGTTTGCTATCCATCTACCCTGTATTATTCTGTATTATGAATAATCTGATATGTGCGAGTGCCTTTGGTATCTCCACGAAGATTTATCCTCTTATGAAGTCAACCATAGCGCTTAAATTACTGTCAGTAAGTTTCAGTGAAATGGAAAAATCCATGAAGGTATTCATCCGGCAAATCTGACTCTCCTTCTCCTTTTTTTTCCCCTGCAGTCTCTGACTTTGCCTGAATTGCCCTCAGTCGTTGTCTTCAAGGACGGCACCTACTTCACTTATGATGGTGAGTGATGAGTCTGAGAATAGAGAAGGGAACTTGAGGAAAAACCAAAACGAGTAAAGTGAACTCCTGAATGTTTCACCTTGGCCTGAGTTTGGCCTGCTGAGTTCAGAACAGCTCAAAACTTCAGCTACATGTTGCTGTTGGTCTGCACCGAGTGGACTGATGCTTCTCTCAGAGTGTTCCTCAGCTGTGATGGAACAGTGGTTCACTTATTTTATCTTAAGGTTTGTCTGACTGGATGAAATTACCATTGACTTTCAGTCAGCTTTATATTTAATTATTGAAGATCTGAGTTGATGTTTTCAACCCACTTTTAGAGGAAAAATATAACTGTGGAAGGACTGATTTGGTGCAAAGTTACACAGCCACATAAAGCTTCAATCAAGCTTGTAAAACTCAAACTCAGTTTGTTTTTGCATTTCTCAGCTGATTGTATCTGCGTAAAATGTACGTAGATATTTGAACATAGCTATTAAGTTTTTTTGAGGGCATACAAGCCTGTCCTGGCTGTCACTAGCCTAGCTTAGACTTAAACACCCACACTGAAACAACAACAACAACAGTTTCCTTCAGCGTTAGACCTACATTTATTTACAAAAAGTGTTTTTGAAGTGTGTACATGAGAGTACATTATCACTGACTGACCCTGTTAAAGCATCTCTGGGAACACTTTATTTGGATAGTGCACTTCAGATGCTTTGTAGATACTTAATTTACTTTCAGGTTACATTCAGCTAAATATCTACTCAACCCAAAACCTAAACCCAGCCCTCAGCCTGGTCTGAGTCGTAACCCTGGTCCAAATCCTAACCCTAACCTTAACCTCAGCCCAAAACCTAATCCCATCCCTCACGCTGGTCCTAGCCCTAACCCTGGCTCTAATCCTAATCCTAACCTTAACCCAAAACCTAAACCCAACCCTCACCCTGGTCCCAGCCCTAACCCTGGCTCTAATCCTAACCTTCACCTGACCCTAATCCTGAACCCACCCCTCACCCTGGTCCTAGCCCTATCCCTGGCTCTAGCCCTATCCCTGGCTCTAATCCTAACCTTAACCTTAACCTGACCCCAAAACCTAAACCCAATCCTCACCCTGGTCCTAGCCCTAACCCTGGCTCTAATCCTAACCTGAACCCAAACCTAAACTCAACCCTCACGCTGGTCCTAGCCCTAACCCTGGCCCTAATCCTAACCTTAACCTGAACCCAAACCTAAACTCAACCCTCACGCTGGTCCTAGCCCTAACCCTGGCTCTAATCCTAACCTTAACCTGAACCCAAACCTAAACTCAACCCTCACGCTGGTCCTAGCCCTAACCCTGGCTCTAATCCTAACCTTAACCTGAACCCAAACCTAAACCCAGCCCTCACCCTGGTCCAAATCCTAACCCTAACCCCACCACTGTTTACAATCAACTGAGTTTCAACAGATAGTTTGTTAACAGTTTGATCATCTGTAGATAATCTATAGTGGACTGTAGTGGACAATCCAAATAAAGTGAGACCCAGTCTGTTCCCCATCGTTGCGGAAAGTACAGGTATTTAATAACTAATGCTGGGATCAGACTACACCATATTTTTGTGTTTCTTGACGGTCACTATGTCAGATTAGACGATCGTAGTTCCATAAATTTGTGCCGTGTTTTGGTTGGGAGACTGGCAATGCAAGTTTGATGCTGACCAATCATTGTTCACGTTCTTGCGTGAGTTCACAGGTCGTCAGGGAGGCGGGTCAATAAACTGTCAGTCAGAAGCGCTGTGTGTGTTTACACTAAGGCCCAGTCTTATTCCTTATTTTTACCCCTACCCCTTGTTTTCGAGTGTCGCCCCTTGGAACTGAGTTTAGTGGTTGAAATCTTCCTTCTGAAATGGGACCCTCAAATAAAAAGAGCATCACTTCATTAACAGCTACCAGCGCTGCTCTGTAGGCGACCCTGCCAGTCTGCAGTGACAGCAGAGGAGGGTAAAGTTCAGCTCCTCACTGCTGGGCTTTAGTTACATTTAGGGCATCATATGATCTTCAAAGTGGGGGGCAATTATTTATTATTATTTTTCTTTTTTCTCATAACTCTCTGTTTGGAGTCTCTGAAAAACCTCCGTTTGGAGGGTCATGTAGCCCCAACACTTCACCCTCCCCCTCTATCTCAATAACAATCAGGACACCCTACCCCTAGACGGGAACGCACAAAACGGAGGGTAGGGCTGAGTGGTAGGGGCGAGGGGTGACTTCAAAGAGGGGGGCAATTATTTATTATCACCCACCTCTAATTCTTCAGTGATATGAAGCTGAAGAAGATATTAACCAGATTCATGTTCGAATTTTCCCGTTCCACCTTAAATGGAGCAGCAGTTACATTCTGGCGCTTTAGGTGTCAGAACTGCTGGACTGTTTAAGGTGGAATGGGAAATTTAGCTAGCTACTGAGACATTAGCGTGTTATTAGCATTTTTTATGCTTGTTATGAAGAAAAGGACCATAATACACTGAAACAACACTAAACTAAGATAATTCGATGTTTTTTTAACTTTTTAACTGAGAAAATTCTCACATTTGTGGTTTCTTTGGTCTCTTGTTCTCCATCTTGCTGGTTTTTCTTTTTTCCTCATATCTCTCTGTTTGGAGTCTCTGAAAAACCTCCGTTTGGAGGGTCATGTAGCCCCAACACTTCACCCTCCTCCTCTATCTCAGTAACAATCAGGACACCCTACCCCTAGACGAGAACGCACAAAACGGAGGGTAGGGCTGAGTGGTAGGGGCGAGGGGTGAAATGGGATTGGCCCTAATCTGAGAGTTGGGTTGTGTTTCTCACTGTTTTGTAAGGGTTTGCAAACCGATGCTGGCTTGTGTTGAGGTAACATGTCTTGCTGTGGCAGGATGTGGAAACAAATGCCGAAAGAGATAACATGAGTGAGGTACCTGCCCAGACCACAGGTTTTGCATGAAGTGAAAGAGACGTGTTCATTTCAATAACTTTGACGCTGCGTCGGTTATTAAATATAGAACAGACACTCTCTGACACAAACACCTCGATTGCCGGCCCGTAGGGGATGGTGTACTGGAAGAAGAGCTTCTCAGGACTATGCAAAGAGGTGTATCAATATGATACACGTCAGTCATGTCATCAGAGTTTTCCTCCACCTGGCTGTGAGCCCTGTGCCTTCTGCTGACCAGTACCTCCCTTATTCATTTCAGCTGGGAGGTTGTTGAGGAAGGAAAGGATATTGCAAAGTCCTGTTGAGAATAAAATGCGCTTTTTGGTTGTTTATTTGTTTTGAGGGGTTAGAAATTAGACGTACTAAGGTTTTTCTTTTCTTTTCCTAATTTTCAAAAATCAAGAAAAACTAACACATGTAAAATTAAGCCTTCAAAGTTTAAAAAAATCAATATCAGAAGTCAAAACTAGATCCAAAAACCAGAAAAAAAATGTCCTGACAATCTCACAGTCCTTGAAATTCCAGGAGTAAGCTTTCTTTTTAAAAAAGTTTGGAAACCTAGTCAATATTTTTTTTTTCTTTCTACGATAATCAATATTAATCTTATTAAATTGTCTAGAGTGGCATTTCGGCAGGTTTTTCCATCCTTAAAGAAATTCTTTGGCTGGTTTTTTTACCATCCTTTAAACAAATATTGATGCATGAAGTGCACCTAAACTCAAGTGTTCATTGGTTAGGTTCTTCTGCGCTCCTCACCGCTGTAGAACGAGCTCTCCGGTCTCCTGCATTGCCTCCTGAATGCCCATGGCCTGCGCCCACGGTGGCAGCTGAAAGCGAAAGCGCAGAGCGTCCAAGCACAGCCTCAGGATGAAGGGGCTCCAGTAGTGAGCGTTTCCCAGACCAGGTGCTCTGTGCCTGACTCGCAGCACAAACTCCAGCCCCAGGCTTTGGTCCGGCCTGGTGGTTCTCACTGTGCCGGTCTGCTCCAGCAGCTCGCTCTGGAAAGGCTCTTTATTCCACCAGTAGCCCAGCAGGAAAAGGTCACTGCAGGTCACACGGACCACAAACAGTCCGCTCTCCGCCGAGTCCTCCAGGATCTGGATGCAGAGAGTCTCACATCTGCTGAACGTTGTCATGGTCGCTCGGGAGGAACTGGAGGAAAATGTGGGAGATGTTAGAAGATTCTGAGCTCAGAACACAAAATCTAAATTCAGCAGTTTCCTGCATCAAGGTCTAATACACCTGCGATGGTTCTTCAAGTGTTCTTTAGTAAAGAAAAGAGTTCTCAAAGAACCTATCGTATGATCAAAGGTTTCTTTGCATCGTTAAATGGTTTTTCGATTGATGGAGAAAGTGCTGTATGTAGAACCTTTTTGAAAAGGGTTCTTGTATTGTTATGATGTCAAGCCTGTAACAAAAGAAGAACCCTTTTTGGTGCTATTCAGAACCCTTTTCAAAAAGGTTTTACATAGAACCATATAAAACTCTCCATCAATCTAAAAAAGCATTAAATGATGCAAAGAACCCTTCAATCATGCATAGCGTTCCTTTAAGTGTTCATGGTTCTATATAGAACCATTTTCTTTGCTGAAGAACTTTTATAAGTGTTCCAATTCCATGTGCTGATCTGTTTTACCCTGCGCAATGTGAACATACACACGACCCAGTTAAAACAATCCAGAGTCTCTGAATGCGTCACCGACTAGATGCTAGGTAAGATCAGCTTAAGCTTTGTTATTATGGTAACACTTTCTGTGAATGTCACCTTTTGTAAGCATCTATAAGCACATTCATAACATGTTATAATGCATTCATAAGGCATTATAAACATGGCTATAAATATTTATTAAAATGCATTACACGTTATAGCCATGCTTATTATGCATTATGAATTGTTAACATAATACATTATAAGTACTGATCATAACATATTATAAGAGCTCATAAGTGGTATTTGTCCGCTCTAAGTAAAGTGAAGCGTACTGTACTAAAGCCTCCTCCAGTGTTCAGAGTGAGGCTTCAAGTTGAAGTATTTACTGAAGGATTTACTGAAACACTAAAACATTCA